ATATATATATATATATATATATATCTTCCATAATTAACTATTGGTTAATTAAATCATATATCCTATATATATCCATAAATATATATATCCACGTATATATCTTTCTATAACACTAATTAATTAATTATATTTATATATAATTAAATAGATAGTTATAATTATACAAAAATGATTATTTAAATAATCACATAACCACGGGCTTTATTTAATTAACCTAATAAAGTTTCATTCAAGCCCAAGACCATATCCTTTGGTCTATTTCCCCTAAGCCCAGTCCAATTAATTTAAATGAATAAAATAATTAAATAAACACTTAAATTAAAATAACTAATTACATGAAGCATATAAACAAATAAGAATGTACAACTAAGTCACATCATACCAATAAAATCAATACACCAGCAATTCAATCAATCATCATACATAATCATGAAATATAACTTAATTCAAATAAGACAATTAATCTAGCACTCAATTAAATAAAACAAATTATTTAAAAATAACAATAAAAGTAATTAAATCCAAATAAATCATTTAAAAATAAAATAAAAGTAATTAATTTCATACAATAAATTCTTTAAAATATCAGAGTATTACAATGCCCCTGTGGGCGGGTGTGCCGTGGGCGGGTGCAAGATACTGACAGGCTACCACACTGGCGAGCTACGGGTGCACAATCCCACATCGCCTGAGAAAGGGAAAGGTGAAGTGCTTATATGTAGGTGTGTCACTTCAATTGGTATGAGGCCTTTTGGGGTAAAGTCCAAGAACAAAACCGTGCAAGCTCAGCCCCAAAACGGATAATATCATACCATATAGTGGAGTGGGTCGTTACAAATGGTAACAGAGGCTGACCCAGCCGGAAGTGTGTCGATAGGGACATCGAGCCTCCAAGGGGGGTGGATTGTGATGACCCTGTGGGCGGGTGTGCCGTGGGCAGGTGCAAGACACTAACAGGCTACCACACTGGCGGGCTATGGGTGCACAATCCCACATCGCCTGGGAAAGGAAAAGGTGAAGTGCTTATATGTAGGTGTGTCACTTCAATTGGTATGAGGCCTTTTGGGGTAAAACTCAAGAGCAAAACCGTACAAACTCAGTGTGATACCCTTCGGATCCGAGACACGGGTTGATTAGGCCCAGGCCCAAACCCGAGGGAATATCAAAAAATTAAGTATTTTAAAACGAACACAGATGACAAAATGAAATAAGAATAAATATTAAAAGCTGAAAATAATACTAATATAAAATTCTTAACTGATAACTTAATAAAATCCAACTTCCAAAACCTCCATGATTACAACTCGGGAATCCATCTAGTGGACCCCTAAATAAAATCTCAACTGCACTGAAATAACTAAAAGTAAATAAAACTAAAACATCGAGAGAAGTCCTACGTAATCTAACGATTGGAAAACTGTCCTCGAATAGCATGATCAAGCTCTAAGGCTGGAACCGTCCTGTACCTGAAAAGAGTAAAGGAGTGGGTCAGGCCCACGAACAAGTTCTAATCTATTTGCAATCCATACGGTGACCCGATACGCAGATACACCCTAGATACCTTACAATATCTATTTCGTCCATACGTATATATATCCACACCGAGGGACACTCACTGGACTATAATAGGGGTCTCAACCTGAATAGAAGACAACATGTGAATACGCACCTAAAGATGGGCATGAGTACCTAGACCTAACAGGGTACACCTCAACCTACTATATCCAGCTACACATCCACTGCATATACGCACCCTAACCAACGAGCCTGAGACTCAAGCTCATCTCGTGGTACCATAATCATATATCTAAAGTCCTTCCAAATCTAGAGTATGTCATTCAATTATTCATTAACGTGACATACAAAACATAGTCCAGTTAGTCATTCAACTTATTCAGCTGATATGACTTAACATAATTTAGGATTCAATATTTTACAATCCATTTTTTTTATCCGACAGGTTAGGTCTTAGCGTTTTGAGCTATACCATCCCTAGTATGCCACCGTCCCATACCGGTGTATACAATCCTCCATATCCATATAAGTTACAAAACCAAGATAACAGTTCAGCAACATAAATCCAAATTCATAATCCAGTTACCAACTATAACTCAAGTAATTGCAGAATATGGTATAACATTTCAGCAAGTTCAATTAAAAACATACTCCAGTTAATTGCAAAATAAGATTTAATAATTCAACAATTAAATTTCATAACCATTATCCAGTCCAAATCCGAAGTCGCATTCATTGCAAAGTAATTTGTGACATTACAACAATTAAATCCAAAGTATAAATCCAGTTTAAAGGAAACCAAGTAAACTACAAAATTATGAACCGTAGCTTAGCAACCAAAGTCAAAAACATGCATAGGTCAAAACTAATCAATACCTGACCCTATCATGCATTTAAAACAATTTTATAAACATATTAGATCCCACTGGAATGCCCAAAAATAAGCTTAAGTAATTAAGTCTTCATCCATCCATTAACCGTATACAATATGCATAAATTTTATACGATTTATTCTATTAATTTAGATGTAATCTTTAATCAATTAAAAGTCTTATTAACATCCAAAATTAACTTCTTAATCACTCTGGAGAGTCTCATAATTTTCCAAAATAGTTCAGACACTCAACCGTTTCAAAAAATGCGTCAAAAATCATAACAGGAAGTAATTTTGGGGTGGAGCCTGCTCCAAAACTTTGGGGGCAGGCTCCAATCAGCCTGGAGCTAGCTCCACTAACCTTGGAGCCGGCTTTACATGTGTGGGAGCCGGTTCCCACTTCTATGGAGCCTGCTCTCACCTCCTTTAGAGCCATCTTCAACCACTGCAACTTCTGCGACCTTCTGCATCGTCTCCGGTCGCTCCCAAGCTGGCTACTTGGTTTTAAACCATTCCTAAGGGTCCTAACTATGTTCAGTATAATCCCCATGGTGTGTTTATAGCAGTTGAAATTAAATACAAAAACTGCAAGTTCTACAGACTAAGCATGCTTTACGTAGACAACTGAAATCAGATATGCATAACTTATAATTTAACAGATTACAACACATATATATCATCAATATAACATCTAATATACATGTAAAATTCAGTTAATAATTAATTAAACCCTAGAGACTATCTAGGTGCACAGAACACAAGCCACAGGGAAGGAGGAAGAAAAGAACTTGCCTGTGATTTCAGTTATGAAATCTCGGCGTCGTGTCCACTGTTCCGGCAACACTGAACGACTGTCTAGCCTCCTCTTATTTCTGCTCTTCCCTTCTCCTAGGTCCGACCTTGAAACCCCAGTCGAATCCCACACCAAACGTGCTCTGTTATCTCAAAACCTCACTCTGTATCTCTCTGTCTTTACAGAACTCAATTTATGTCTATAGGCTAAGTGTTATGATTGTAAACCCTAGACTTAGTCATGGTGTATTTATGAGCTTTAATCCCTAAAACCCTAATCCTTGTAGGATTAGAGACAGAGCCCAACTCAGCCCACGAACAACCCTCGTTATAAACTTTGTCGGCTTCCACCTACGGGACTTCTAACAGAAACCCTAATCGTAATATTACAAAAATTACCCTAATTTAACAACCAAAAAATAGTGAAATACAAATAAAATAATATAATTAACAAGTAACGGAAAATATCACACAACAATTAACAATTTAAATAAATGAACAATGCACATAAAACCATTAAATCAATTTAATTCAAAAATCAATTAATAAATGCAAGTAAACAATTAAACCACAAAAAAGTACAATTAAACAAATAAAAACCAATAAAATAAAAATTTTAAATACCGAGACTATCCTTTTAAAATTAGGGGTATTACACTCAGGCTCAAAGCGGACAATATCATACCATGTGACGCAGTGGGTCGTTACAGTGCTGGTCCTGGATCTCAGCATGCTTTTTGTTTATTTATAGAAAATTCATAAACTGAATCCTACACATAAGAATTCTACTTGTAATATAACTCTAATCACAACTATATGTAAATTTAAATTAAACTAAACTACTGATAACCTTAATATTTAACTGCACCTAACTAAAAGATAAATACTAAAATTACAATCCTTATCTATCATCTAAATTCAAAATATATCTTTGCATGCAATTTGTATTACATTTGGAGTAACCCAATGCTTCCCTCAGTCAAAAGCCCAACCTTGCAATCGGCCATATACCACGCCGAATCTCTTCTCACAGTTCATGCCCTTGCCATGTCACTATATTTCCGGCCCACTTGTAATATTCTTCAGCTCAATTACAGTCCAGGCCTAATTACCAAAATGGGTGTCAATAATGCCCCCCAAATTGTGGTAGCCGTTTGTAACTAGGTTTCCAAAATTTGAATTAACCCATTTCTTCTCGTCGATATAGGAACCAGAGAGTCACCAATTATTACTCCATCTTCCAAGACTGCCGAAAACTTAACCCCATCTAATCACTCATTAATTCTCACGATGAACCTTTTGGTTTTCCAACCACATACGGCTCTCCTATCAAAAATAACTTTCATCTTTTAAACTCTTCATTGCAAACATAAATCTATATCGCATATCTCTCTCTGCAACCTTCGTCTACTTCACTAAATCAAACACTCTTTTTTCCTTGTTCATCATGTCTTCAAAAACGCAAAAACAGTATGTTGGTATTGTTTTGGAAACTCCCATACCAGAATCCACCTCTCATACGAAAATGACCAAAAAGGCAATTAAAACCCTAAAATCTTTTAAAATTGATACTTCAATTCTTATTAATCTGTCAAATGACGCTAAAGGCCTTGGCCCAGCATTCATCAATCGATCACCTCTATCATTGGCCTCATTTTACCCCCAGGGAAAGGAACATCTTCCTTTTTCCAAACCGATTTACCAAACTGCAGAAAGCGAATGACCATCGCTATCAATTAGGAACTGGCATCCTCCTATACTTCAATGGAGTGAGTGGATGGATCGTGTTTCTGCATGAAAAGGTGAGCTATGGAAACGCATGGACATATTCGATATTATCCAACTGAGTAAGATCCCTCTGACTCTAGATAGATCTGTGTTTTTTACATCTTTGCACTTTTGGTCTCCTACAACCAACTCACTGCACTTGCACTGTGGGATGATGTTTCCTACCATTCATGATGTATGCTTTCTAACTGGTCTCAAACCTGGAGGAGATGATATCAATTACCTCCTTCAGGACTCTGAGATGACATTTAATTTTCCTGAACAAGAAGGATCCAAACCATTCGTTCAATCTCACAGCCCCTTCTTGAAAGAAATGCTTGGTAACTTTGGGACTGAAGTAGATAAACAAGAACACATAGGATTTTTATTGTTGTGGTTGTGTAGACATCTGTTATGTGCCCCTGCCATTCAGATTACCAAGGACCTTACCCAACTGGCTATTGCTCTGTCCAAATGTAAAGCCATGGCTTTGGCGCCATTTCTCTTGGTGTCATTATACCGAGGGATATCAGACCTCATTGTATCAAACTTTTCAAGGTCTGGAGGACCATTTTGGCTTTATCAATTCTGGCTACATGCTTACTTCCCTGAATTGTCACCCACTATTCAACTTGCAGCAAGTGATCCCTTGATATCTTTTGGTTATGCCAGAGCCAAGCCCAAAGATCAATCCTTCTTGGATTATTTTTGTTTTTTCTATCATCAATGTACCATCCAAACCAGTGCTCAATTCCTTCCTTTTGTGAACTGTCGATTAGCCCCCTCTTGGCTATTTCCTCCTACAGCCGAGTCTTCCATTGAGCAAGTAGAAGCATATAAAAATTCATGGGGTCACTTTTTAATTGCAAGAGACATTTCCTGCAATACTGTTGTTTCTTATATTGCCAAAAGCAAAAATGGGGTAGAGTTCTATAACCCATCACAATTGGCCAGATAATTTGGGTTAACCCAATTAATTCCCATGCCCCCTCACTTTTCATACAACAAAACTATCACATGAGAGTAAAACTCTTAGATACTGATCAAATCATAGAAGTGACCAATAAGTTTCAACAATCCCTACAAAATTTCCAATACAAAGAATTTGCCGCAGAACCTTATATCGACTCAGCGTTTAAGAAATGGAGGTCAGTGTATATCAATTTTACCAGGACCAAGGATTCTACCCAACTTGTTCACAAACTTCTTAGATCATACAAGTTCATATATTTATCCTTTCAAGGTGAAGAGACCATTCAACCTGTTGTGCTTACATCACCTCTTGCACCAGAGAGCATTCCCACAAAATCAGCAAGTCAGCCACCTCCTACAACTCCTGCTGGTAAGACAAGGTCTTATTTTTGGCAAAGTAAGTTATCACTTTCTTGATTTTTCAACTAACATGCCAATTTCTTTGTATGATGTTCATTCTATCTTAACTGTAGGTGTGCCCTCCACCATTCCATAAAGGACAACTCCAGTCAAAGCAGAAGACATTCCTGTAGACCCTTATGTTCCTTTTAAGAGTATACCCCTGAACTCAACTCCCAAGGTAAGTTGCTCAATTTTGGTATCAACTTATGTTTAACTTTAAGTTAATTTGTCTAATAAATTCTCTAAATAGGGACAAAAGAAAAGAAAAAATATCAAAACTATTGGCAAAAAGCCTAGAAAGAAACAAAGGGCCAAAAGAAATTTCATTTTGGTTGATGAGGAAACGGATGAAGAGAAAACTGTGAATAAGAAAATGTAATGCTCTTCCGATACTCCTCAGGTAAAATTATTAACCAAATAGATTTATAACCCCCTTCACAATTGGCTATCCATATTAAGTCAAACCTCTTTGTTATGCAGGAAAACACACCTTAAAGAACAACAAGTGAGTCAGGAAAGTGGTGACAAAGAAGAAAGAATCGAATTGTCTGCAGAACAAGACCACTTTCCTTCTGAAAGGACCATATCTCCAGCTTCATCCCAATATTTGGCAGCAAGTACCCCTATTGCCGAGCAAGTAGAAGACTTCGAGGAAGTAAGTACTGAGATTGTCATATTTATTACATGTTGCTTTATGATTACTGACCTAAACATATTGCAGGTGTAAAAAGATCTTGCTGCCCCTACCTTGCCTGCACATGATAACCCAACTTCACCTTTCACTAGTTTGGACTCTTTATTTGACTCTGTGTTTGACTATGAACCTGTTGTAACCCCAGTCGAGAATATTACTGAAACCCTATGGAAGTTTCTCAAGTTGTTAACGTATTTTCTCAGATGTTGCAAGAAGATATCTCCTCATCTCCAGGATTCAAAAATGATCTCACTGAAACACTCTTCATCTTAAGCAGTTACCCAGGATTCCCTTTAAGTGATCAAGCCTTTTTAAAATACTTCCAGCTTCAATTTCCTTCCATGATCACTACCTATGCTGAGTCAGTCCACACCAATAACCACTACTCTACCCAGAGTCAGGAAAAAGAACAACTTTCCCAAACTCTGAAGCAAGGAAAAGAACTACACTTGTCTTTGAAGAAAGAAGTTGCCAAGCTAGATGCTATCTACAAAAGCTTTAGGCAGAATTATCTCAGCTACACCAGGAAAGAACTCAACTCGACAACAAAGTTACATATTTTAAAAAGCAAGCAGAAGCTGCTACTTCCAAGTTTAAGGCATTACAAGCTCAGATATTAAGGTTGGAGCAATCTAAAAGACAAGTAAAAATTAAGCTCAACAAAACCAAGGCTTTATGGGCGGACATCAAGGCCAAATTTGAAGATTTTCACCAAAACTTTAAACAATCTTGATTATTCATGGTTGTATGAACAATTTGCTATTTTGGGTATATAATATGGATTTTTGATTGATATCTTATTTATTGCATAAACAGAATTGTTTTATAACTTGCATTAAAAAAAAAAAAAAAAAAAAAAAAGGGCAAATATAAACCAAACTACTTTGACTTATTGGAGATTTTCTTTTCTTCCATAAGTTCAAAAATAGTTGGTTTATATTTTTTAAGGTACCTTCCATTTAATGGCCTTTCATGCACTTCGTCGTCCAAATCCTTCAACTTATATGCACCTCTGTACAATACCTGGTGGACTATATATGGCCCCTTCCAAGTAGGGGACCATTTTCCATAAGTTCTATCTACCTTTCTTGGTGGAAGAATTGTTTGCCAAACCATATCACCATTTGCAAATGATTTAAACTTCACCCTTTTGTTATAAGCTTTCCTTACCTTTGCTCTATGGACCATAAGGTGGTCTAAAGCTAATTTATGAACTTTATCTAGGTCTTCTAACTCGGCAAGCATAGTTTTACTGTAATCGGCATGTATTAAATTATGTTGTAGAGCTACCCTTGCCGATTTTACATTTAGGTCCATTGGTAGCACAGCATAATGGCCAAATGTTAGCCGATAAGGAGTAATTGCTATACATGTCCTTTTTGAATTTCTATAAGCCCACAAGGCTTCTAAAAGGGTTTCATGCTAACGTCTTAGCTTATCCTTTATCATTTTCTCAATAATATCAATTACAACCTTATTTGAAGCTTCTGCTTGACCATTCCCTTAAGCATAGTATGGTGTTAAAGTTAACATTTTGACGTGCATATTGCGGCCAAGTTGTAATACTTCTCCTACTCGAAACAAAGATCCATAATCGACAATAATTGTTTCTAGTAAACCAAATCGGTGAAAGATGTGTCACTCCAAAAATTGTATCACAGTGTTTTGAGTTACTAAAACATATTCCTCGGCTTTTACCCATTTGGTAAAGTAATCGGTGGCTAAGATAATCCAATGATGACCCTTTGATGAAGGAGGATTAATCTTACCGATTAAGTCCATGGCCCAACCTCTGAAAGGCCATGGTTTGACTAATAACTGTATCTCTATTGCTGGAACCCACTGCATTGGGCCATGCTTTTGACACTCCGCACAACCCTTTGCATAGGTCATACAATCTTTTCTCATTCCAGGCTAATAATATCCATATCGGCGTATCAAACATCTCATTTTTATGCCAGCTTAGTGAGCTCCACACATTCCTTCGTGTACCTCTACCATAATCTTTAAACCTTCAAACTTGTTAATACATTAAAATAGCAAACCATCATCAGCCAATCGCTTATAAAGATCTCCATCCATCAGTACATAATCGACTGCATTTTTTTTTTTTTTTTTCGATTAGCTTCCAAAGTTGGATGTTGTAAGAACAATATATAACGGATTCACTAATCATCATTATCTAACTCGGCAACATCAGTGGCAAAAACTTCTTCCATTACTTTATTTCTTGTTTCAGCCGATGGAAGAGATTAACGTGTGATTTTCATTATTCTTTCCTTCATACCACTTGACACCCTAATTCCTGAAGTAGTATGTGCTAAATCATTAGCTATTTTATTCATAGCCCTTGGTCTGTATTCCAAAGTCACAATGTGAAATTGGTTGACCAATTGGGTTGCTAATGAATGAAATGGCCTTAATTGTCAATTTAAGCATCTAAAGTCTTTTGAGATTTAATTAATCACCAAACTTGAATCCTTCACAATGTGGACATCCTTGACTGCCATCTCCAGTAAAATTTCCAAGCTGATAATCAATGCTTTATACTCAGCTTGATTATTTGAACACCTAAAATCTAAAAAGAAAGAAAACGAAACTTGGTTCCCTGATGGGGATATTATTGCTATACCAGCTCCTGAGCCTGCATCGGTACTCAACCCATCGAACATTAAAGTTCAAGGGGTCATGAATATGGCTGCCGAGTCAAGTTCATCAAACACTTGTGATTCGATTTCAGGTGAAAGATGATCGATAAGAAAATCTGTCAATGTTCTTCCCTTAATCGCTTTTTGTGGAACATAGGCAAAGTTAAACTCCATTAATGCTAGAGCACATTTGCCGATTCGGCCTGTGATTAATGACCTTGATAGCATACACTTTATAAGATCTATTTGACAAATAATATAAACCAATACAGGCAACATATATACTCTTAATTTCATTGCTGCAAAATACAAAGCCAAACATAATTTCTCAATCGGCGTATATCTACACTCGACTGGTGTCAAAACTCAGCTGAGATAGTATACTGCTTGTTTGCTTCCTGCTTCGTTCTCTTGTGCCAGCATACTTCCAATAAATTCTTCAGCAGCCGATAAGTATAACTTCATCGGCCACTTCTTCCTTGGTGGCATCATAAGAGGAGGACTTGACAAGTATTTCTTGATCTGTTCAAATGCCCTCTGGTGTGTGTCATCCCATTTGAATTCTTCCATCGGCTTCAACTTGAGTAAAGGGGAAAACACATGTAACTTACCAGCAGTATTGGTAATAAATCGTCAGAGATAATTCACTTATCCAAGTAACCTTTGCAATTGTTTCTTACTTTTCGGTGCACTGGCATCAATAATTGCCTTAGTTTTATTCCTGTCAATCTCTATGCCCCTTTGGTGTACAAAGAAACCCAAAAAGTTTCATGCCGATACTCCAAAGGCACACTTTATTGAATTCATTTTCAACTTATGAGCCCTCATTCTCTCAAAAGATGTTTTAAGATGAACCAAGTGTCCTTTTTTCGTTGCTGATTTTACTATCACATCATCAATAGATACCTCCATAAACTTGCCGAGCATATCATGGAAAATAGAAATCATAACCTGCTGATATGTAGCACCAGCATTCTTTAATAAAAAAGGCATTACCACCCACTCAAAAGTTCCAATCGATCTTGGACATCTGAAATCTATTTTTGGGATATCCTCCTCGGCTATATAAATTTGATTATAGCCTGAGTTTCCATCCATAAAAGACATGATTTCATGCTTAGCAGCCGCATCAATCAATTGATCGGCTATCAACATAGGATACTCATCTTTTGGGATTGCCGAGTTTATGTTTCAAAAATCAACACATACTTATAATTTGCCATTCTTCTTAATAACATGAAC